AGGAGAAAACCCACTATTTACTCCATGGAATGCTGGCAAGTGGTCCGCCAGTTCCAACACTGTACCATGCAGGCACTTATTAACGATCTCCATAGGCGTATAGACAGTTTAAAGGCCATCGAGAATGGTGCCATAATGAGCTAGCGGACCACCATTTTCAAGCGTTAGACCAGCATATCTGGTTAGCCACCAGGAGAGCAAGCCAGGGTGTGATGGGAACACTCCAACATAGAATAGACGCACTACGAGAACCTGGGAAAGAAAACCCCCCGAGCGACTGGTATGTAATCTCTCAATGAAAATACTCACCCACCCACAGCTCACCCTGGTACAGTGGGATGTGGGGTGTAATCTTACGGACGCGAACACCTTGGACTTCGTGGCAGCACTGGAACCTGCTATGTGCCGTATTGAAGTGGGGGAGGAGGTGAAGAACTCTATTAGGCAGCAGGTTACAGGGCTGTTGATGAACCATAAATACCACCAGACGCTATCCAAAGACAAAATAGAAGCTATGGAACAACTCAAGAAAGACAGCTCCATTGTGATATTACCTGCAGATAAGGGGAGGGCCACAGTTGTGATGGACAGGATGCAGTATACGAACAAAGTGCTAGAGTTGCTCAAAGATATTACGGCTTATAGGGTGGTGGATAGGGACCCCATGACAGCGCTTAAGAACCACGTTAACAATATACTTAATGGCCTCAAACATGGAGGAAGGATAGGGGATGACATCTTGAGGAGGGTACGCCCCAGGGACTCAGCACTTGCTAGATTCTACAGGCTACCCAAGATTCATAAGGAAGATGTCCCCCTGTGCCCTATTGCTTCGTTTAGAGACACCCCGACCTCGGGTCTGGCCGTGTGGCTGAGCAACCATATCAGTCACTTGGTCAGCGATAACACCACCACGGTGAGGTTGGCAGAGGAGTTCCTGGACAGGATTAGGACCCTAAGGATAGAGGAGGATGAGCTGATGGTGTTGTTTGACATCGTGTCGCTCTTCACCTCTATCCCGCAGGATCTGGCGGTCACGGTAATAAGGGACCGCCTGAACCAGAAGGGCCCGGGACAACAATAGGACTCCCTCCAAACGGAAAATTTCGTGAGACTTTTGGAAGTGTGTTTGAAAACCTTTTTCATGTTCCAAGACACCATGTTTGAGCAGGTCAAAGGAACACCCATGGGGTCCCCGATTTCTAGCGTCACAGTGGAGGCTGTGCTGCAACTGTTAGAGCATGTGGCGATGGCCCAGCTCCAATCTAAAGTCTGGGCCCATTACATAGATGACACACTTGTGATCATCAAAAGGAGTAAAAAAGCTAGCTTTGTGGGCATACTCAATTCGGTATACCCCGACATTCAATTTACGGAGGAGGAGGAGAACCAGGGGAGGTTGGCGTTCTTGGATGTATTGGTCCACTGCCAACCGAACGGAACCCAGAGCATGAGGGTATACCGAAAACCCACGCATACGGACAGAGTCCTGCATTATGCAAGTAACCATCCGGTAGCCCTCAAAGTTAGCTGTATAAGAACACTATTTAGATGGGTAGACTCCCATTGCAGCACGGCCAAAGCTAAAAGGGAAGAAAGAAACCACCTCTTCCATATATGTAGATGCAACGGCTACCCAACTAAGTTTGTCAGGCGCGATAGTATACCACCCAAACCCCGAGAGAACTCACGGACAGAGGAACCTCAATCACAGAAGACCCGTGTTGCCCTCCCCTACATCAGCAACATCTCTGAAGCGACGGCCAGGCTGCTAGCACCTCACAAGGTGAAGGTGACCCATAGACCCGATCAGACATTACAATCTAAAGTGATGCGACCCAAGGACCCACTCCCCAACACTGAAAAATCAGTGATTGTGTACAGGATCAATTGCAAAAATTACTCTAGCAACTACAAGGGGGTGAATCCCTCCTCCCCCAAAAAACGGTCTGTGAACATCCAAGGAAGCAACCATTGATCGAGGAGTCCCCTCCACCCCAAGAGTGTGCACACACTCCCAAACAGCAAGAGAATGATTGCACAATGAGGGAAGGGCAGCCAGCGAACGGGGGATTATCCCCAACCCCCCGGAACTTTTGAATGAGACCTCGGACTTCCCAATTGACGGCGCTTGGGGCTCCACCACAGACAATGGGGCGCAGAAACAGGATGGGACTGAAAACGGCGTGAGAGACTGACCCAAAGCAACGACGTTTCAGCTACACCCGGAAAAGAGGACGGCCACACCAGCCTGCCTTGCAGTGACTACCCACTGGCGTAAACAACAGAGCGTTACTTGGAACACTCGGGGAGAAATGGAGGTCGAGAACACCAAGAATGGGGGGAAAAGAAAACGGAGGTTGAACATAGTGAAAGTTGTAGAAAGGATTATCAGGCTGATGGGGGGAAGAAATGAAGGAGCCGAGTTTGCACCCCCCAAAAAGGAGGATGGACAGGGAGTTTAGTGAGGAGGAAGAAAGTGTTCGTGGCACCCAATTTAGCATGGAGATCGAGAGCACTGGAAACAGAGGAAGGGAGGAGGCAGATGCCAGGCAATATAGCAACTATAAGAACGGGGACTGTGCAGAAAAAGGGAGGGGAAAGGGAAGAAAGGGAAGTATGGGATGGCGAGAAAGGCTGAGGGTGCGGCTCCATAGGATAAGGGATGACAACTGGAAAGTGAATAAGGAACAAGGGAAGGAGGAAGGGGAGAGAGAATGTATCGTAACAGGGCAGCTGGGGCAAGGGCAAAGGCAGCATAAGAGGAGAAAACAACCCAGAGATATGGAGGACTTGTTGTTGTTGTTGTTAATTGTGAAGTCATGTCCAACCCATCGCAACTCCATGGACAACGTTCCTCCAGGTCTTCCTGTCCTCTACCATTTTCTGGAGTCCATTTAAGTTCACATCTACTGCTTCAGTGACTCCATCCAGTCATCTCATTCTCTGTCGTCCTCTTCTTCTATTGCCCTCAATCTTTCCCAGCATTAGGCCCTTCTCCAGTGAGGTGGCCAAAGTATTTGAGTTTCAACTTCAGGATCCGGCCTTCTAAAGAGCAGTCAGGGTTGATGTCCTCTAGGACTGACCGGTTTGAACGCCTTGCAGTCCAAGGGACTCGCAGGAGTCTTCTCCAGCACCATAGTTCAAAGGCCTCAATTCTTTGGCGCTCAGCTTTTCTTTCTTTCTTTTTTTTATTAAAATTTTTTAAAATTTTACAATAAAAACCCCTTCCCCAATCCCTCCCAACCCATCCCAAAACCCTTCCCCGTTCTTCCCAGAGCTGAATACAAGCTTAACTAGATCTTAAAAGAAAAAAAGTTTTAAACCCAAATAAACCTTAAGCAAATATAATTACACTCAATAAACAAATTGTAATATATTTTAACTCCATTATATATAAAAAACAAAAAGAGGGAAAAAAAGAGAAAATAAAAAAATAAAAAAATAAAAAATTAAAGAATAATAACAATTACACTTCTAAATAATATCTTAAACTTATATTAATTATTCAAAAGCTAGATAATATTTTCTTATATCATACTTATATTGTATAAAATTTATCCATCTTTTCCACACCAAAAGATACTTCTCTTGCGATTGATCTTTCAAGAAAGCCGAAATTTTTGCCATTTCCGCTAAATAAGAAACTTTAAGAAACCATTCTTGCAAAGTAGGCAAAGATTCCTTCTTCCAACATTGCCCTACTAACAACCTAGCTGCTGTAATTAGATTTAACATTAATATAGTTTCTTTACTGTCACAATCGGAAACAATACCCAACAAAAACAATTGTGGAGTAAATTTTATCCTTCTTTTAAAAATTCTTTGAATATTCCACCATATCTTAATCCAAAAAGCTTTAATACTTTTACATGACCACCAGATATGATAATAAGTAGCATCCGATCAACCACATCTCCAACATTTAGGCTGCAGGTTTGGATACATACGAGACATTTTTTGTGGATCAAGGTGCCATCTATAAAACATTTTATAAAAGTTTTCCCGTAAGTTTTGGGCTTGCGTCAATTTAACATTCCTCACCCAAATAATCTCCCATGTATCTAATAAAATCGGTTCATCAAAATTTTGTGCCCACTTAACCATACAGTCTTTAACTAGCTCTGCTTCTGAATCCAATTCCACCAAAACACCATAAATTCTTTTAATATGGGTTCGACTTTGATCTCTAATTTGTTTTAACAAATTCTCATCCTCTCTAAGCAAGCCCACCTTATAAATATAAAATTTATTGTTCATTGTCCACCGGTACAAAAATACAGTATAGCATGCTGAAATAAGGCAACCACCATAACATTCAGTGAGATACTTTTTTTTTCTTCCATTGATGAAAACCTGAAAGATGAATGCACAAATACATAAAAGCAAGGTTCATATAAATCAACCAAATGAAGTAACAGGCAATTGTTATCAGGAAAAAGTACACATAATCATGTAATTAGTATTTGTTTCATTCTATTCCTGGAGCAAACAGGAAAATGAGGCTATACATACCATAATCATAATATATTTGGGAATAACCCCATGGAATACTCTTGTACTAATACTAATTAATACTTGGGAATACCCAATACGCTTACTTTTGAGTAGACATGCATAGGAATGCATTGTTAGGATAGTCTCTATAGCAGATTTATCCATTTAATCAATTTAACTTCTTGAGACTCATAGATGTGGTTCTAATGTAATTTTACTCAAAAATTGGCGATTTACATATAAGCATAACTCCCATAATTTCAGCCAACATGAATTGTGGGAATTGTATCCTAAATATGTTTAGCACTACCAGGATGAGAAACACTGAATTAAGTTCATGTTAAAGAAAAAAAAATCCACATATTCTTTTCTCAAAATCTACTAAAATGAACAAGTTTTATTTGTAAGATATTTTAAAAAATCTTTATGATTAATGCCCTCAACATAATATGTGTTCTTATAATTTGGCTTTAAACTCCACTGAAACCTGATTACTTATGCAGTTAAGATTGAAACATTTATTTGTTGAAGTATTTAGCCATTTTTTTCTATTATAAATATCCATTTCAATGTAAACAAGGGAGGACATATTACTTTAATTGAATTCACTGTATGAAAATTAGATAGCATCTGGTTTACCATCTACAGTATTTTTTTTTCAGAGCACCAACATTTTTATATGAAAAAAATTAGGGTCACATTTAAATTTAAATGCTGAGCCTATATAAAATAGATATTTGGGGTATTATAATTCATCTCCAATATGTTTTTTCTTGAAAGCATCCCCTGTTAGCTTCTCTTGGGCTACCTTCATCCCTTGGATCACTTGATCAGCACTAGTATAAAAATACTTGTAGTTGGGGTTTCCTTTCTCATTTATGATCTCTGGATGGATCTTTCCACTGGGATCCATGAAAATAATTCTAGGAATGTAACCACCATCAGGGCTAAAAGCTTCATCCTTAGGTTCCTCTTCATCCTCAAGGTTAACCATTACAAAATTATGGGCAAGCTCAGAGATTTCCTTTGATTCAGTAAACTTTGGTTTTAAAGCTTTGCAAGCACCACACCAGGATTTATGAATTATTACCATGAGAGACAATCCACTGGCTGCAGCCTCTTTTTTCCCATCTTCTAGTGTTCTCCAGTGAATATGATCTCCAAAACCTTTTCCAAGCGGTTTTTCAGCTGCAGCCACAACGAACCAGTGGCAAAAGGAAGAAAAAAGGAGAGGGGAGAGCGATGCGAGATGAACTTTCATGGTGGCAGCGCGACTCCTCTCAGGGGTTGAGTTGCCGGTCAGCTTCACCGAGTAATCTGATCAATTCAAGTCAGCCCTCTCGTGAAAAAGGAGTGGAGCTGGGAGGGATTTGTTCTTTCCCACCTGCCGCAATACCACAGTAGGCGCTCAGCTTTTCTTATGGTCTAACTTTCACAGCCATACATTGCAACTGGGAAAACCATGGCCTGGACTATACGCACTTTTGTTGGCAGGGTGATGTCTCTGCTTTTTAGTATGCTATCTAGCCAGCCAAAAAAGGGGAGAAGAGAACTTCCCCAATCCAGGACCGTATGAGGCGGAAGTGAACAGTAGCAGGGGAGGCAGGAAAAGAGGAATCATTGACGCAAAAGCCATAATTAAAATGCAGCCAAACCAATTAGGACCTGTCACGAGGTCCAGGAGCCGGGTGCAGACAATGGCTTGCCTATAGAGGAATTCTCCCATAGACCAGCATTAACCCTGACGATGTCAGAAGTCTCTGATGAAAGCTTGGTGATTGGTGATGGTATTAAACTTTTTTAGTTTATTATATTCCTGGTGTTCACGATTTTATTGGCTATTTAGAAGATATATATATATAATACGATAATACCTCAACAGTGTGCTCTCACTTTGGGGATGCGAGTGAATTATGGGAGGATGAGGAGGTGATTGTTCACAACTCTATAGCCTCTGCACGCTCCCGGAAACACCTAAGAGGAGTGACCCCCCCCCAGAAACACGCAAGGAGGTGGAAACCGGGAACCGAAGGACCCCCCTTCCCTCCCCTTGAAGACGATCATGCATCCCCAAAGAACGGAGAAACGTATGGGCAGCGGAGAGGGGGAGACCCCTATACCGGGGGCTCTATGTGGAGGAGAGGGCAGCAATCAATTTAAAGGTGTTACGGACCTTAGCGACACCATTAAAACAGCTCCCATTGATAAGAAAATGAAAGGAAAAACTAGTGGGGCAGCATTTGAGAATGAGAACTACGGTGAGACAACCACAATAAAATCCCGTGACGTAGGAGAAAACAATGAGGTTGTAGCTGTGAAGAGGGACTATAGAAAGAGGGAAGGTGGGAGGAGAACGGGCAGGAGGAGTGCTAGGAAGGAAGATGAGGAGAATAAACAGCAAAAACATGCAGGCTCCCTCAGCTCATGATTACATAAGGAGGGGAGAAAGGGTGGGAGTATAGATACAAGCAAGGAAAGCAAGGAAACAACAGCCAGCAACACGGAAACTACGATCAAAGCGCAGGTGGATTGGCTGGGACCTGTAACAAGGTCTAGGAGCCGTGCGCAAAGAACACCACATCCTTAAATAGCTTCCCCCATCGACTGGAAGTTACCCTGACGATGCTGGCAGTTGCCAGCGAAAGCTTGGTATTTTATCTTATTAAAACTTTTTATAGTTTTATAATTTCCTGGTGTTCGTCCATTTTTGCTAGTCAATTCGGGTTTTCTCCCGCGCAAAATTGGAAGTGTCTTGGTGACATTTTGATGAAGTTCCATTTGTCATCTTCAGGCTGGTGTTTTCGGCTTCGTGCTCCTAGGACAGTGGTTCTCAACCTGTGGGTCGGGACCCTATTTGGGGTCGAACGACCATTTCACGGGGGTCGCCAAACAACACAGTCCACCATTTTTTTCCCCTTTTCCTTAACTGTGCTATTCCCTTTTATTCTATTGGCTTTTGAAAGCCAATAGAATAGACTCTCTTGAATAGAGTCTAATTCTACTGGCTTTCAAAAACCAATAGGAATTGTCCAGGCTGTCTCTGCCCTGCTGAGCCCGCCAAAAGTCCCATTCTGCAAACGGTGCTGCACCAGTTGAGTAGTCCTCGACTTACAACCGGTTGAGTAGTCCTCGACTTATGACCGGTTGGGGGTCACAGCATTAAAAAGGTTGAGAACCACTGTTCTAGGAGCAATGTGTGATCATAGTTGTTTCTTCCTTTTAACTGCCAGTGGGGGTATGAACTGATTGGGTGGGAGCTTGGCTGTGTTCTGATTGGATGGAGGTGGTTCTGATTGATTAGGGGCTTGGCTGTGCTCTGATTGGATGGGGGGTTGGTTGTGCTCTGATTGGATGGGGGAGTGTTCTGTTTGGGTGGGGGCTTTGTTGTGCTCGGGTTAGTCTGAGTTGCAGGAGAGTTTAAAATGGTGAACTGCATTGCTGTTGTTTGGCTTTGCGTTCGTGGTCGTGCCTCATCTTCATGGTGGGTGTCAGTTTGCTTCATGTATGGATTGGAGGGGTTTAAAGTGGCTAATGATGCAGCTGTGGTCTGGCTTCTGGTTTATGGTCGTGCTTCATCATCGGTGTGGGTTTGGGTTTGCTTTTTGCGTGGATGTGTGGTGGTGACATCCTGTGTGGTTTTCATGAGTGTGGGTCTGGTGTCATTCTTTGTGTTAGGGACTCATTTGTCAATAAGGGCAGGTTTCCAAATGGCTGGTAGGAGGGAGGTATCATCTCGTTTATTCATGCTGTGTGGGCGTTTTTCTATCTCGATGGCTTCTCTGATTATTCTGTTATTAAAGTGTTCAGTTTTGGCGATCGTTCTGGTCTTTTTAAAGTCAATTTCATGTCCTGTGGCTTTAAGGTGTTGGACCAGGGAAGAAGTTGGTTCCTCTTTTTTGACTGAGTTCTTGTGTTCTTCAATGCGTGCACTTATTCTTCTGTTGGTTTGTCCGATGTATGTGGTGGGGCAAGCTGTGCATGGGATTTCATATACTCCTTGATTTTCTAACTCAATTTTGTCTTTGGGGTTTCTTAGGATGGTGGATATTTTTCTGTTTGTGCAGAATGCTGTCTTGATGTTGTGTTTTTGGAGGATCTTGCTGATTCTGTCTGTGATGCCTTTTATGTATGGGAGGAGGGCTTTGCCGTTTTCTTGTTCTCTGTCTTGGGTTTTAGTGGGGGTTTCTTTTTGGATTAGGTTGGCAATCTTATTTCTTTGGAATCCATTGGATGTTAGTACATTAGTGAGAGTGTGTAGTTCGGTTTTTAGGTGTTGTTCATCAGCTAAGCGTTTTGTTCTGGAGATGGGTGTCTTAGCTACGGAGTTGATCTGTGTTGGGTGGTGGCGTAAGAGAGCGTGCAGATAGGGGTTTGTGTGTGTTTTCTTCTCGTAGATGGTGTGTCCTAAGGAGCCATTGGATTTCTTGTAGACTAAGACATCCAGGAAGGGAAGTTTCCATGGTGAACTGTATTTTGTAGGCTGTTGAGGTGTGTGAGGAAGTTGTCCAGTTTTTCTTTCCCATGTGGCCAGATTATGAAGGTGTCGTCTACATATCTGAGCCAGAGTTTGGGTTTGTGATCCGATTTTTCTAGAGCTTGGGTTTCAAAGTGTTCCATGTAGAGGTTTGCAATGACAGGTGAGAGGGGTGATCCCATGGGTGCTCCTTCTATTTGTTTGTATTTTTGTCCGTTATAGATGAAGTATGTGTTGGATAGGCAGTGGTTGGTCAGATCTAGGATGTGTTTGGGGGGGGTTATATTTGTTTTGGATAGCTGTCAAGGCTTCTTTGATAGGCACTTGGGTGAACAAGGATATGACATCGAAGCTCACGAGTAGGTCGCTGGGCTGTAAGTTTTGTTTCTATATGATCTCTATGAACTGGAATGAGTTTTTTACATGTGAAGTGATGGATTCTGCATAGGGCTGTAATTTGGCGAGAAATTTGGCTAGGTTTTGTAGAGGTAAGCCTATTGAGCTGACTGTGGGTCTAAGTGGGGTTCCTTCTTTGTGTATCTTGGGGAGACCATAGAGTTTGGGGCATCTGGATGATTTCTCTCTGAGAATGATTTTTTGCTGGATCTCTTCGGTAATGGGGGAGGCTTTTATTTTGGATCTAGTGTTTTTTTCCAGGAAGGTGGTGGGATCTGTGTTTAGGGGTTTGTATGTGGAGTCTTGGAGTAGGTTGGTTAATTTGGTTTGGTAGTCAGATGTGTTCATAACCACCATGGCGTTGCCCTTGTCTGCTGGTAGGATTATTATGCTGGTGTCTTCTTTCAGGTTAAGTAGTGCTGTTTGTTCCTCTTTGGGTAAGTTGCTTTTGGGTGGCTTGCTGGTGCAGAGGATGTTGGTGATTTCGAGTCTGATTCTGTTAGCATCATCGGGGTTGATTTTGGTCAGGCTGGTTTCAACTCTGCATATCCTGGCTTACATTCCTTGCTTGTGTATTTTCTTTTGAAAGTTTTCTATTCCTGTATTAAAGGGAACGTCTGATTCTACTGAAAGTCCCTTGTGTTGAGAATAATGGAAGCATTTTATTCTCTGCTTTGTCTTCTCTTTCTAGCTGCCAGGAATTGGCAAAATGTAAAGGCATGCTCTAAAAACGATCGCATTAACGATGGCCAAAGAGAGAGATGGGGAATACTATGAGCGAAAGGGAATACTATGCACAATCAAGACTGTATTGTACATTGGTTAACAGGTTAGATAGTTATTGTTTAAAAAAAATATTTTTGGTATCATTGCCAAACTATTAACAAGAAATTGACATAGATGCATAGATGTCCAAGGGGAACATAAGTCCTTGACTTAGGACCATAATTGAGTCTGGAGTTATAGATGTAAATTGTGCTGGTCATTAAGCAGATCACCATGCGACTGCACCCAATTTTACAACCCTTTTTTGCAGTGGTCATTAGCTGAATGTAACGGTCATTAAGGGAACACAGCAGTCATTAAGCACAGCCAGTTTCTTCAATTAGTGCTTTTTGCCAGAAACTGGAAGTAAACACTGGAAACTGGCCAAGCTGCTAAAAATTGCGATCATGGCATGCCGTAAGTGGCCATAACTGCAAATCAATTGCCAAGTCTCCCAAAATGGAATCACATGACCCCTGCAGGTGTGACTTCCAGCACTCCAGAACCAGATCATAAGTAGCTCTGGGGAACTCGGTCATAACTTTGAATGGTTAAGCAATGACTCCTTGATACAAAACCTGAAACTTTGCTACTTGCATCAGGAATGGGAGCCTAAGCATCAAACAGCTGAGTCTACACATCATCCACCCACGTGTAATCTTTTTAA